TTACAGTAATATAGATGATCAGTGATGGAGTCGATTACAGTAATATAGAGATGATCAGTGATGGAGTCGATTACAGTAATATAGATGATCAGTGATGGAGTCGATTACAGTAATATAGATGATCAGTGATGGAGTCGATTACAGTAATATAGATGATCAGTGATGGAGTCGACTACAGTAATATAGATGATCAGTGATGGAGTCGATTACAGTAATATAGATGATCAGTGATGAAGTCGATTGCAGTAATATAGATGATCAGTGATGGAGTCGATTGCAGTAATATAGATGATCAGTGATGGAGTCGATTGCAGTAATATAGATGATCAGTGATGAGTCGATTACAGTAATATAGATGATCAGTGATGAGTCGATTACAGTAATATAGATGATCAGTGATGGAGTCGATTACAGTAATATAGATGATCAGTGATGGAATCGATTACAGTAATATAGATGATCAGTGATGAGTCGATTACAGTAATATAGATGATCAGTGATGGGGTCGATTACAGTAATATAGATGATCAGTGTAGTCGACTACAGTAATATAGATGATCAGTGATGGAGTCGACTACAGTAATATAGATGATCAGTGATGGAGTCGATTACAGTAATAAAGATGATCAGTGGTGGAGTCGACTACAGTAATATAGATGATCAGTGATTGAGTCGATTACAGTAATATAGATGATCAGTGATGGAGTCGATTACAGTAATATAGATGATCAGTGATGGAGTCGACTACAGTAATATAGATGATCAGTGATGGAGTCGATTACAGTAATATAGATGATCAGTGATGGAGTTGATTACAGTAATATAGATGATCAGTGATGGAGTCGATTACAGTAATATAGATGATCAGTGATGGAGTCGATTACAGTAATATAGATGATCAGTGATGAGTCGATTACAGTAATATAGATGATCAGTGATGGAGCCGACTACAGTAATATAGATGATCAGTGATGAGTCGATTACAGTAATATAGATGATCAGTGGAGTCGACTACAGTAATATAGATGATCAGTGGAGTCGATTACAGTAATATAGATGATCAGTGATGGAGCCGATTACAGTAATATAGATGATCAGTGATGGAGTCGATTACAGTAATATAGATGATCAGTGATGGAGTCGATTACAGTAATATAGATGATCAGTGATGGAGCCGATTACAGTAATATAGATGATCAGTGATGGAGTCGATTACAGTAATATAGATGATCAGTGATGGAGTCGATTACAGAAATATAGATGATCAGTGGAGTCGATTACAGTAATATAGATGATCAGTGATGGAGTCGACTACAGTAATATAGATGATCAGTGATGGAGTCGATTACAGTAATATAGATGATCAGTGATGGGGTCGATTACAGTAATATAGATGATCAGTGATGGGGTCGATTACAGTAATATAGATGATCAGTGATGGGGTCGATTACAGTAATAAAGATGATCAGTGATGGGGTCGATTACAGTAATATAGATGATCAGTGATGGAGTCGATTACAGTAATATAGATGATCAGTGATGGAGTCGATTACAGTAATATAGATGATCAGTGATGGGGTCGATTACAGTAATATAGATGATCAGTGGAGTCGATTACAGTAATATAGATGATCAGTGATGGAGTCGATTACAGTAATATAGAAGATCAGTGATGGAGTCGATTACAGTAATATAGATGATCAGTGATGGAGTCGATTACAGTAATATAGATGATCAGTGATGGAGTCGACTACAGTAATATAGATGATCAGTGATGGAGTCGATTACAGTAATATAGATGATCAGTGATGGAGTCGACTACAGTAATATAGATGATCAGTGATGGAGTCGACTACAGTAATATAGATGATCAGTGATGGAGTCGACTACAGTAATATAGATGATCAGTGATGGAGTCGATTACAGTAATATAGATGATCAGTGATGAGTCGATTACAGTAATATAGATGATCAGTGATGAGTCGATTACAGTAATATAGATGATCAGTGATGGAGTCGACTACAGTAATATAGAAGATCAGTGATGGAGTCGATTACAGTAATATAGATGATCAGTGATGGAGTCGATTACAATAATATAGATGATCAGTGATGGAGTCGACTACAGTAATATAGATGATCAGTGATGGAGTCGACTACAGTAATATAGATGATCAGTGATGGAGTCGATTACAGTAATATAGATGATCAGTGATGGAGTCGATTACAGTAATATAGATGATCAGTGATGAGTCGATTACAGTAATATAGATGATCAGTGATGGAGTCGATTACAGTAATATAGAGATGATCAGTGATGGAGTCGATTACAGTAATATAGATGATCAGTGATGGAGTCGATTACAGTAATATAGATGATCAGTGATGGAGTCGATTACAGTAATATAGATGATCAGTGATGGAGTCGACTACAGTAATATAGATGATCAGTGATGGAGTCGATTACAGTAATATAGATGATCAGTGATGAAGTCGATTGCAGTAATATAGATGATCAGTGATGGAGTCGATTGCAGTAATATAGATGATCAGTGATGGAGTCGATTGCAGTAATATAGATGATCAGTGATGAGTCGATTACAGTAATATAGATGATCAGTGATGAGTCGATTACAGTAATATAGATGATCAGTGATGGAGTCGATTACAGTAATATAGATGATCAGTGATGAATCGATTACAGTAATATAGATGATCAGTGATGAGTCGATTACAGTAATATAGATGATCAGTGATGGAGTCGATTGCAGTAATATAGATGATCAGTGTAGTCGACTACAGTAATATAGATGATCAGTGATGGAGTCGACTACAGTAATATAGATGATCAGTGATGGAGTCGATTACAGTAATAAAGATGATCAGTGGTGGAGTCGACTACAGTAATATAGATGATCAGTGGAGTCGATTACAGTAATATAGACGATCAGTGATGGAGTCGACTACAGTAATATAGATGATCAGTGGAGTCGATTACAGTAATATAGACGATCAGTGGAGTAGTTTACAGTAATATAGATGATCAGTGATGCAGCTGATTACAGTAATATAGATGATCAGTGATGCAGCTGATTACAGTAATATAGATGATCAGTGATGGAGTCGACTACAGTAATATAGATGATCAGTGATTGAGTCGATTACAGTAATATAGATGATCAGTGGAGTCGATTACAGTAATATAGATGATCAGTGATGGAGTCGACTACAGTAATATAGATGATCAGTGATTGAGTCGACTACAGTAATATAGATGATCAGTGATTGAGTCGATTACGGTAATATAGATGATCAGTGATTGAGTCGACTACAGTAATATAGATGATCAGTGGAGTCGACTACAGTAATATAGATGATCAGTGGAGTCGACTACAGTAATATAGATGATCAGTGATGGAGTCGATTACAGTAATAAAGATGATCAGTGGTGGAGTCGACTACAGTAATATAGATGATCAGTGGAGTCGATTACAGTAATATAGATGATCAGTGGAGTCGATTACAGTAATATAGATGATCAGTGATGGAGTCGATTACAGTAATATAGATGATCAGTGATGGAGTCGATTACAGTAATATAGATGATCAGTGATGGAGTCGACTACAGTAATATAGATGATCAGTGATGGAGTCGACTACAGTAATATAGATGATCAGTGATGGAGTCGATTACAGTAATAAAGATGATCAGTGGTGGAGTCGACTACAGTAATATAGATGATCAGTGATGGAGTCGACTACAGTAATATAGATGATCAGTGATGGAGTCGATTACAGTAATATAGATGATCAGTGATGGGGTCGATTACAGTAATATAGATGATCAGTGATGGAGTCGATTACAGTAATATAGATGATCAGTGGAGTCGATTACTTATTATATATATTTAAAACCATTTAAAAGGCATAATGAAATAATACTAATTAATTATTAATTTTAAAAAAGTTTTTCTATATTTTTTTGTTTTTTATAAAACATTATGTATGTTATCAAGAAATAAATATAAATATTACAACAATATAGATGAAATATAAAATAAATATCAATATAAATAATTTTTAAACAAGACTCAAAACCTGATTAAATGTTGACTTTAAAACTATTATAAAATAATGATCAAATATTGACAAAATGTTGTTTTTAAAGCCACAATGAAATCATATTTACTCAATGCTGATTTTTTGTTGTTGATAACTGAACCATCAGTTGTCTGTCACTTATTTTTTTCGTCTGAAGTCTGCTGTAAATAGTAGTGTGTGTCGGAGAGCACGTTCTGGCATCGTGTGCCACCCGAGAAAGGAAACCGCGGTTGATATCAGTGTGTCTGGGGTCCGAGGGCCTCAGTCCAAATCGAAATGAAGTGGGGCCCGTCCATTAGCACGTCCTTCAGGGACACGGCGAGGTGTGTGAGTGCGATAGCGCCCGTCACCCGCACCCTCACACTTCCAGCATGCCAGTCTCTGAGAGGCAGACGGGCACAGACTCAAGCCACTGGCGCCACCAGCCTCTCACTACTGTTTTCTGTGAATATCAGTCATAGACCAAGTGTTCAAAGATCGCTCACCTTTGGTGCCTATGTTAAAGGTCACGTCTGAGTTTGAGTTTCTAGTCAAGTCACTTTCATTTATACAGCGCTTTTAACAATATAGATAGTTTCAAAGCAGCTTTACAGTGATAATAGATTACAGTAACAGAGACTGTTTAGGCTTTAGTGTGTTAAACTGGTGGTTATGGTAAGGGGCGGGACATTCCCCAAACACACTCAAAGCGCTCGACCAATCACAACACACTACTCCAGCTGACCAATCAGAGCACAGTGTGCTTTTCAGAAGGAGGGGCTTCATAGAGACAGGAAGTAAACAAAGCGTTACTGACAGACTGGGAAGAGAGGAGCCGCAACAATGGAGAATACGAGACAAAAACTTTAAAACTTTGAAACATGGCTTATTTACGAACTAGTTATTTCTCTTTTCTGCAGCAAATGTCCAGATGGTTTTGAATGTATGAAGACTGGACGAAACCCAAACTACGGCTACACCAGCTTTGACACCTTTGGATGGGCTTTCCTCTCCCTTTTCAGACTCATGACACAAGATTACTGGGAAAACCTCTATCATCATGTCAGTATTCCTTCTGTTCTCTCTCATTACGTCACATTCTGCCATGTGGTTGAATGTACAGGTTGTTCAACATCGGCCATAAGTTCCTCTATTTACTTAAAGCAATTGAGATGCATTTACACTAACGTTCAAAAGTATTGAAAAGAAGAACAACAAAAAAAACACTTTTATTTAAGGATGCATTAAATTGAGCAAAAGTGGGATGTATAATGGTACAAACGATTTCAAATAAATGCTGTTTTATTCTATTAAAGAATCCTGAAAAATTGAATGCATCAGTTTCCCTAAAATATGAAGTGTTTTCAACATTGATAATAATCATAATAATCATAATGAATAATAATAATCATGTTTTCTTGAGCATCAGATCCTCATATTAGAGTGATTTCTGAAGGATCATGTGACATTGACTGGAGTAATGATGCTTTGATCACAGGAATAAATTAAATTTCAACATATATTGCAGTAAAATATATGTCTTTTATTGTGTAATAATATTTATAAAAAATAATGTTTTACTTTATTTTTAATCCAATAAATGCAGCCTTCAAAAACATTAAAAACTTTTGAACGGTAGTGAAAATGTTAATATATACTAATTTTGGCGTCAAAAATCGTATAAACACAAACTTTTGCATGCATTTAGAAATTTATTTTATTTATCTATTATCCATTCTCTTTTGGCAGATTTTGGCAATTAAGTTTGATTTTGACCAATGCAGATTATCTCAAAATGATTGATTTATCAGCCTGACCAATGCATCTAATTATCGAATAATCTCCAACAACAAATAATAAAGCAATTTGCAGTTATTGCAGCCACTGTGATTCGATGCTGTTTCTGTGATCACAGACTCTGCGCTCCGCGGGGAAAGCGTACATGGTGTTTTTTGTGGTGGTGATCTTCCTGGGCTCCTTCTACCTGGTGAACCTGATCCTGGCTGTGGTGGCCATGGCGTACGAGGAGCAGAACCAGGCCACGATCGCAGAAGCCCTGCAGAAAGAGCAGGAGTTTCAGCTCGCCATGGAACAGCTGAAGAAGGAACAGCAGGCACGTCGGGGTCACCACTCACATCAGCTGTTCATTTCTACATTCACATCCCAATCGAGGGTTCATGAGACGATGCAATGCTAATCATTCATTAAATAACATTAAAATAATTCAATGGGGCTTCACAAGCAATTGAAATAAGACTGAAATCCAGATATATCTTGATATCACTTCCCATATGTAAATTATAGTAATATCACATTAATTTTCATTTTATGGTAAAATTGTACTTAACTACAGTATTGCATTTCTGTCTTAATAATTAGAGGGGAAACTACCCCTCTAATTATTTCTAATATTATTATTTCTAAAACCACCGGTGTGAATGTAAAGAGTCCAGCTGAAAAGTGAAATGTTTATTATATCGCAATATGACAGAATAAGTGCAATATATAATCTGCAGCCCTTTTTTAAAAAAAAACAAAAAAACAAACACTTATTAATAAAGACTAAATATTGTATCTGTTTACTTGCATGTCATGTGATCATCAACCAACATCAGAGAAACGTGAGCATGAGAATGTTTTTAAATTATTAAAATATTAATGTGTGTGTTTTTCGTCTAATGCTGGGTTCAGACTACACAACATTTTTGTCTGTTATGATGGTCAGAATATGCTATTTTGACTCCTGCATTCAAGAAACATTTCACGTTGCTTCTCGACCAATCAGCGCTTGCCGTGTGTGATGTCATTGAGAAGGCGGAACTTGCGACTTTTGGAAACACGTAAACAAACAATAGCTACCGACGCAGTGTGTTTTATGCTAAATCCCCCACAGTTCTCCATATTCATATATATTCGTAATTCAGCGTTGTATTGCGCGTAATTTTACACACAAAGTGTGTGCGAACAAAACCGCCAAGTAAATTGAGTTCTTTTTCGAGGCTTATTGTGCTTTAAACAGTCAAATACACACAAAATAATGCACGTCTTGGCGAATATTCATGTAAACACGGTCAGTTATGCTAGTCAACGTAAACAGAGAAAGAAAACTCACGTGTATCGGTATGTTAGATACGTGCGCCAGGTCTTAAAGTGACAGCAGCCTAATAAACCTGCCGCCAAATTATGTGATAATATTACAAATATCTATATGGCGGTTTTTCCCATGGTATCGATGTCAGAACTGTGCCCAGTGAAAACGCTGAGTGGAGAAAACCACTAGCCGCCGTGGCTAGGAGTAAAAAAGTTAATGACGACACGCTACGTCACCCTATTTTTGGACTGATATTGTGTAGTTTGAACCCGGCATAAGGGGTTCGGCTGACCAAATAGTTTGCGAATCCTTGATTTAAGCAATAAGAAATGAATGCTATATTGTGTCTCTCAGGTTGCTCAGAAAGCACAAGAAACCGAGTCCATCTTGACCGCTGACGTGTCGCCGTTCTCCTCGCAAGGCAAAGGGAATCTCGACCGGAGGAAAAGCTCGAGGCCGATGTCAGAAGGGATGACGGGGGACGACAAATCAGCCAAGCTGGACACTATAGAGGGGATGAAGGTGGGTTTAGCATAATAGTTCACTCAAAAAATGAGAGTTCTGTTAAAAAGCCTCACATTTCTTTCTTTCTTTCTTTCTAGCAAACACACTCTTTGCTGGTCCGCACTTTATCCTTGAGGGCCAGACGGGAAAGCCAGGTCAGCATCTTCAACTTCCGGCCGCCGAACAAAGACTCAGAGGTGGATTTCGCCGACGACGAGTTTAGCAATCACGGAGATTCGGACAGTCGAGGCGGATCACTGGCGCTTCCCTGGAGCCGGAGACGGACCAGCGCTCAAAGCACATGCAGTCACAGCTCCCAGTTCTTCTTCCCAAGCCTCAACATCAACGGCAAACTCTTCGTGGCCATGGACCAGAACGGGGTCTCGGGCCAGGGGCCGCTGTCTCCTCTGCAACTGCCCACCTGCACTATGGAGAAGGTCAAAGAGGAGAGCGTAAGTGACTTTAAGCTTCTAATCAAAGTGAGCAGGGCTGGTCGAGGTAATAACGGCATGATTGATTTGTAATGAAGCACATGTGCGAGTCGCTCTGCATCTATAGATCGGGAATCCTCTCTTGTTGAGTCAATCTTGTGAAAAAAATTTAAAAAAAATCACTCGACTAGCACATAAAAGTGAATTAAATGTTGCATTTTTGAAGTAAAATTACTGAAAGAGTATTTTCTTGTAAAACATAATCCAGTTTGAAGAAATGACTTTTGACTGATACTTGGTTTATTTGTAATAATAATAATTATGATTATTATATTCTTAATAATGCATATAATGTTTTATCGCTATGGCCTACAGCTAAAATATCAAATATATGATAATGCTTTTACCCTCACTATCCTTTTGATCAAAAATACAATAAAAACAGTAAAAATAGTGAAATATTATTCCAATTCAAAATAACAGTTTTCTAGGTCAATATATGTTAAAATTAAATTTATTCCTGTGATTAAAGCTGAATTTTTAGCATCATTACTCCAGTCTTTAGTGTCACATGATCCTTCAGAAATCACTCTAATATGATGATTTGATTATTATCATATCAATGTTGAAAGTTCATATTTTTGTGGAAACTGTGATACATTTTATTTTTCAGGATTCTTTGATGAATGGAAAGTTTTCAACCCAGGGATAAACGTGTTAAAAAATACTTAATTATCTCCTAAACATCATCATTGTCTTCAAAGATTGCTGTGTGTGTGTGTTGTTCATATACTCAGTCCTTCTACAGCTGTCAGTTACATTGATAATATGCATTACTCTCTTGCCTTTTCTGAGCTGATCTTGACGAGCTCTTTTCTTTTATTGGCCGGCTGAATACATGCTGTGTAATGATTAGTGTTCTGCGAGAACCTCCACCTCTTCTGATCTTTCCTACGCTCGCAAATGTTCATTTGTCCGCATGTCAAATGGAATAATTCTAATTCAAAGACTGAGGTTATTTTTATTGAATAAGTCCAACAGACAATATGGATTTTTGTTGTTGTTGTCTAGACGTTTTGCATTGTCAGCTATTAAGCCGAATGTAGTAATGTGATGATGTTTACAGTACAGAAGTTATCAGTGAATCTGACAAAAAAAACAAAAAAAAACTAGGGCTGTGCAAAAGTTAATTGCGATTAATCGCATCCAAAATAAAAGTCTGTGTTTACATAATATATTTGAGTGTGCTGTATATAATTATTTTGTATATATAAATACCTATGCATGCATGTATATATTTAAGAATTATTTGCGCTTAAATTCTGTATATATTTATAAAAACATAATCTATATTGTATAAATATAAATATTTTATATATGAATAACACATTTTCTTAAATATATACATGCATGTGTGTGTATTTATATATACAAAATAATTATATACAGCACACACAAATATATTATGTAAACACAGACTTTTATTTTGGATGCGATTAATCGCAATTAATTTTTGCACAGCCCTAAAAAAAACCTTACAGGTCATATTTCACACTTAAAATTAAGAAAGTATATATTTGAAGCTTTGTGTTGCATGATGACATTATTTGCATGATGTAAAATTTAATTAAAAGTAAAAAATAGGCTGTTTATCAGCTAGCTGAAGCAGCTCAGATTGTTAAAAATAATTTTTTTTAAGTTATAAGTATAAGTTTAAGTATAAGTTTTTATTGAGATCTCATTTAAGTTATGACATAATATTGAATAAGGTAATGTCATAATTATTGCTATCATAATAAAAATAATCAATATGATAATTATAATCATTATTATTATTATTATTATAAAATTCTTCAAAATGCATATTTTTATTGCTATTGTCTAATGATTAATTGCTTATTGTTGTGCTAAAATATTTAAATAAATGGAAATCAACTCAATATTTACATATTCACTACAGATCAAAACTTACAACTTGGTACATTTTTATTTCAACGACATCTGCTCACCAAGGCTGCATTTATTTGATAAAAATACAGTAAAATTCAGTAAAAATACAATAAAAACTAATTTTTGACGATGTTTTGACCCTATTCTCATAGTTGTGTAGGAGGAAAAAATGTAGATATTTTTGATATATTATAAGTGAGTTTTCTTTTCTATGTGGGGGTCATCATTTTTAGCCAGCTGTATGAAACGGAAGTACAACGTCAAGCCAAGAAATCTGAAAAACTCAGAAAGGAGTCTGAGAACTGTCTGGACTGTGTGTTAGAGGCATGGAAACCCTGTTGTCTTGGCGATGTAGTCATGGTTACGTAGCAACAGATGTTGAATAAGAGTAGAGGCGCACACACACACTTCTGCAGCGGTGTTTCCCACTCGTCTGAACAGCAGGAGTGGGCGTTATGGTGGGCCGATGTGAAGTGCTCCTGCGTCATTCCTTTGATTACCTGCGATCAAAAACACATTATATAATCAGAGGGTCATTGTTACAGTCAGACATCATGTACTTGTCTCAAAGGCCTCATATTAAAACAATTAAAATCCAGCAAACGCTTAGAAAACAAATGCATAAAAGCATTTGACAAAAATGATCACATTTCCCAAACCACCCATTAACACTTGAGACATTTCTGCTGAGGGTTAATAGCTGATGTTATTAGTCTTTTGTTTTGCACTAAACAGAATCGATTTTAAATGCCACTGAGTGTTGAAGATTAATGTGTGTGTTTTCAGCTAAGTCAATACAATATGTTAAATATAGTGTTTGCTGAGCCATATCTAGAGACCAGAATATCAGAGAGAGTTGAGGGTGGAACTATCCAGAACACCCTAGCAACCACATAGTAGTGCCTGGCAACCACCTTGCAGTCACCCTAGCAACTGCACAGCAATGTGCTTAAAATCTTTCAGAACAGGTAACAACTGCACAGCAACACTGTGGAAACCACATAGCTATTGTCTAAAAACGTTCAGAAAACCTAGCAACACTAGCAAACACTGTAGCAACGCCCTAGCAAACAGCTAAACACACTAGCAACCACATTGCAATGTGCTTAAATCTGTTCAGAACACTTGGCAACTCCATAGTACTGTCCATAAATCATTCAGAACGGGTAGCAAATGCACAGCAACACTAGCAATGCTCTTGCAATGGCAAAAACAAAAACATAGCAACCACTCAGTAACCCTAGAAACCACATAGCTGTTTGTCCAAAATCGTTCAGAACGATCAACTGCAAAGCAACACTAGCAGTGCCCTTGAATCATAACCACATAACAACACCCTAGCAACCACATAGCTGTTTGTCTCGTTCAGAACACTTAGCAACTGCACAGCCACACTAACATTCTCAATGGCCCACAACACCGTAGTAACCACATAGCAACTCCCTAGCAACCACCCATACACCCCAGCAGCATTACTATTTGTCTAACATTGTTCAGAACACTTAGAAACTGCAAAGCAACACTAGCAGTGCCCTTGGAATCACAACCACATAGCAACACCCTAGCAACCATCCAGTCACATTAGAAACCACATAGCTGTTTGTCTAAAATCATTCAGAACACTTAGCAACATGTCCCGCAACACCGTAGTAACCACATAGCAACACCCTAGCAACCACCCAAACACCCCAGCAACCACATTGCAATCTGCTTAAAAGCATTTAGACACTTGCATAAAACACTGGACAGCGATACTACAGTAGAAATGCCCTACGCAACCACATAGCAACACCCTAGCAACCACCCTGACACTCTTGCAACCTCAAACCAACCTTTGGTTTTTTCTAAACTGTGCTTAAAAGCATTAAAACACTCAATAACTGCACAGGGATACTACAAAGGCCCTAAGCAGCACCCTAGCAACCACACTCACACCCTAGCAACCACCCTGATACCCTTGCAACCTCAACCCAACCTTTTGTTTTTGTTAAACTGTGCTTAAAAGCATTAAAACACTCAATAACTGCACAGGGATACTACAAATGCCCTAAGCAACATCCTAGCAACCACACTCACACCCTAGCAACCACCCTGATACCCTTGCAACCTCAAACCAACCTTTTGTTTTTGTAAACTTGCATTGTAATACATATTATTATCAAATAAATATAAGGGAAAGAGAAACCACTGAGTTCTAAAAGTCTGCCCTTGTTTATTGCCTTATGAAGGCATTTATGTGAATGTTCTGGTCTTACAGGGGCACAACTCCACCAATGAGCTGAGCAGCATGCTGTTGCCCCAGCTGCCCCAGGAGGGCCGGGACCGGGCCCTGAGCGCCACCAGCTACATCACTGACGCCATGGAAGGTAAGACAGCTACACAACAACAACAAACCAACACCGATCGTAAACGAGCCAGTGATGAGATATGAGCCCTGAAAACTCTCCATATGCACATAAAATCCACACCAAGTCTTTTTCTGCTAAGTGCGTGCGAGGCCAGGAGAAGTGTCTCCATCTGCTCGTGGTTAATGTCGTCCCCCGAGATGTAGTCGCTGTTGTTATTCAGTGGAAAGGTGTAACCCTCCCACTGATGCTCCAGACTGGGACATCACCTGGCCGGCACAAGAAGAACGACTCTTCCCTGAGCGTTTCGGCCGATACATCATAACGTTACAGAACGTCCTCGCGGTTTCAAATCTGCTATGTAGAAACTAATACAAGTGATGCATTTATTTTCATTGTTTGCGATGTTCCTGCTGGGAACGAGCTTAAGCATTTACTGTGGTAAATTTGCAGTGAACTTAGAATAAACAGAACGATATCACTGTTATTGTGATTTCTTTCCCAGCTGATGAACGATAAAAACATTGACAACCAATCAGAATCCATCTGACTTTAACGAGCTTGAGAATTTAAAGTGACCGAAGACAAAATTGTTGCAGGCTTCGTATAGACTGAGCGATATCACTTTCATAGTGATGAACGATGAAAACGTTAGCCAATCAGAATCCTCCTGACTTGAACGCAAAATTTAAAGTGACAGACGACAAAATTGAAGCAAACTTAAAATAAACAGAACAGTACGATATCACTTTAATAGCGATTTTTTTTGTCAGCTGATGAACGCTAAAAACATTGACAACCAATCAGAATCCATCTGACTTTAACAAGCTTGAGAATTTAAAGTGACAGAAGACAAAATTGTTGCAGGCTTCGAATAGACAGAGCGATATCACTTTTATAGTGATGAACGATGAAAACATTAGCCAATCAGAATCCTCCTGACTTGAACGAGCGCAAACATTTAAAGTGACAGACGACAAAATTGAAGTAAACTTAAAATAATCAGAACAGTACGATATCACTTTAATAGCGATTTTTTTTTTTGTCAGCTGATGAACGCTAAAAACATTGACAACCAATCAGAATCCATCTGACTTTAACGAGCTTGAGAATTTAAAGTGACAGAAGACAAAATTGTTGCAGGCTTCGTATAGACTGAGCGATATCACTTTCATAGTGATGAACGATGAAAACGTTAGCCAATCAGAATCCTTCTGACTTTAACGAGCGCAAACATTTAAAGTGACAGACGACAAAATTGAAGCAAACTTAAAATAAACAGAACAGAACGATATCACGATTTTATAGCCATTTTTGTCAGCTGATGAACAATAAAAACACTGACAGCCAATCAGAATCCATCTAACTTTAACGAGCTGGAGCATTTAAAGCGGCAGACGACAAAATTGTAGCGCACTTAGAAACAGTACAATATCATCTGTCGATGTAGACACAAATATAGTTAAGATTTATTGTGTTTTTTAGTTATATTTTAGTTATTTATAGACTTTTTGCAGACAGCAAATCGTGAGCTTAGAATTATAAGGTTCTATCTCCGTTTAGGGTAGTTCTGAGATATTGAGCATCAAAGTTTTTACATCCCAACAGGCAAAACTGTTATGTAGTATAATCTTCTATTATAGCTCAACAAGACCATCACCCTACAGGTACTTTGTGAATAAAATATCAAAATCCTGGCACATTTGGAAATGGGATTTTTTAAGATGACGCCAATGGAGATAGAACCTTTTAAGTCTGAGAGCTCTGATTCTGTTTGAAATTATAAGGTTCTATCTCCACTTTTACAAATAAAACCCCACATTTCAAAGAATAATTGTATATAACCATTGATAATATAATATAATAGTATAGTATCAAAGCCAAGCAAGCAAGTTTGTAAGAAAAAAAAATATTTTCAAAGAACATGGACATTGAGTAATTACACAATACTACACCTCACTCCTCTGTACTGTAAAAAAACATTTAGGAAGCATCTTACATTAAAAACGTTTAATTTAGTAGATTAATACAAAATATTGTAACATCATGAAAATTATGTTTTCATCCCTTATTATTCTGTATGTCGGTTTTGTTTTGTATAATGTACTTCATGTTATGTAATTTATGTTGTCATGACTCTTTCCGACCTTCTATCTTTACTTTCTAAATACTGCCTTGTAGTATGCTTTGTCAACTGCAGGCATGTACTTGAACATGGATAAATATTAGAAAGATTAGACAATGGGACCCACTGAGGCACTGTCCAGGACTCAACAGGATAAACAGTCACAGTTGCATTGCTTGGATATTGAATCTACTGGAGATAGAACCTTATAATCCCAACTTGGTTAATGTTTTGTGAGATGGAACCTTTGTATTTTATTAATAACTACTAACAAAATATTTTTTTTTTACAAAAATAACACCACACAGGCATTAATAAACACCTAATACCTGACAATTGCATTGCTTAGCACCTGTACAGTACTTCCTAAATTGAAGGGTGTTTTCGTATAAAATTATTTTCTCTGTAGTTGTCTTTATGCCACATTTTCTATCTGTGCCGTTGGTTTCCCAGATACTTTTCCAGTACCGCAAAACAAAGCAGTGTTTATACAAAACACAATCTTACTCACAATCTTGTCAGGCTACAGAGCTAAGAGGTGGGTTTTGATTGGTCCGTCCGTGTTCATTCAGGGTTTTGATTGGATATTGAATCTACTGGAGATAGAACCTTATAATCCCAACTCGGTTTATGTTTTGTGAGATGGAACCTTTTTATTTTATTAATAACTACTAACAAAATATTTTTTTTACAAAAATAACACCACACAGGCATTAATAAACACCTAATGGATCAGATTATGTCAAAAACTCAATTTCGACCAAAAGTGGAGATAGAACCTTATAATTCTAAGCTCACGAAATGTTGGGAAAGATTGGGAAAGTCCGCGAGTCGACAATGGCGCTATATAGACACAAATATAGTTATCACCCTTGATGTGAACGAGTCTTAAACCTGAGAGTTTTTTTTTTTTTTTTTCAGTAAAAGCATAACGATACTTCCTCAAAAGTCTGTTCTGTATTGTATGGCTAGTGTGCTCCCCTGACTAGAGGACACCACTGCTCATGAAATGTCATTTATGAACAGAAATGGCCCATATTTTTGAGTCTTTTCTGGACTCTTGACTGGTCAGCACAAAAGTTGCAAACAGAAGAAGGCCTGAGCTCACAGGGTCTGAGTTTAGACCTGCTAGCGTAAGAAAATGCCAATCCTCATTATCACGCATGTGAAAGCTGACACGGCAGGACAGCAGCAGGCCAAATTTACTGTAATGAGCACGTTATGTCAGATGATGCTTACATACGTGTGTGATAGATTGCTAGCTTCCTCTTACTGATTTATATAAGTATGCTGACACTGGATTAGCCATATTGCAAAAATACTCAGACGTACCCTTTATAAAAATGTGCCATGGTTATCATAGTTTTCAACATGTTTTTATTGTTGCATGGACTATTTTGTTATGACAGAAGTAAATTAATGTACATAAATAAACAAATCAAATATGTGATTTTATAAAAAATAATAATAATAGTATATAGTATTATTTGTACATGTTGTGCATACATAAATATTTGCCTAATATAATAATAATAATAAACACTGAATAATAGTACTAATAAATAAATAAATACAACCTTTTTTACATTTTAAGATTTTTTTCTATAATAATTAAAATATTAAATTAAGTTATTTAATGTATAATAATTATTTTAACTAATAATAAAAAAAATAATACTTTATTTTTTATCATTTAAATAAAAAAAATATTTATTTTGAATTATTTAAAAAAATATTTTATATATTTTTATATAAAATATAATATACAAATATTGAATTATTTTTAAAAATATTTAAAAATAATCATTTATTTTTAGAATTAAAATATATAAATACAATTTTAATCAATTAACTTATTTTTTTTAAAACAGTTATTTATTTCTTATCATTTAAATTAATAAATACACTTAATTAATAAATTTATCCTGAATTATTTGAAAGAAATATATATATTTTAGAATTTTATTTATATATTTTTATTCTAAAAACAAATCATTCTTTTTAAAATATATAAATACAATTTTATTTAATTAACTTATTTTTTTAAAACAGTTATTACTAATAATTTAAATTAATAAATACACTTAATTCATTTCTCCTGATAAAATATATTTTTTATAATTTAATTAAATCAATATATATAAGCCAAAATTAATAACAATTTTTTTTATATTGCAACATTAACACAAAACCACAATATTACACATGTCGTGCTCAGTTTGGCTCCTGTCCTTGCTGTGTAAAGGGAAGAGTGTGTAAACTGAAGTTGGTCAGTTTCTCTTGTGGAGGATGAAATAAAGCCTGACAGGTCGAATGAACCCGCTGTGGAGCATCACACCATCTCAGCTTCTCATCGCACGAGTTACTGGCACATTACTGACACACAGCCAAATCTAGACCCACATAGTGTCCGTCTCTGTCTCATTTCTCATTAGAACACTTACAGGTTCCTCCGAAACACACATCCCCTCGTATCAAGTGTGATTCGACCTCAGTAGGGTAGAAAACAACATGCTAACCTTTCACCGTGACCTTTTCATGTGGTGCTACAAACCACATTTTGTACATTATGTTTTCATTGTCTGAATCTGAAAATTGTAACATTTGAATAGCATTGCCAAAAACATCTTTTATTTACAGTCAGATAGCTAAAGAGACTGTGACATAAGGCCTTATCACTTAATTTATGCATTTTTTTTTATTTAATTTATTCACCCAAACATATTATGGTACACTTTAGTGCTTTAATATCATGTATAAAATCCCTCTTACCTGACAGAAATCACATTAAACTATCTGACCATGATCACTAACACTAGATGCCCGTCAATCATTGTGCACTTTCAGGTTTGCTGACATCGGATTGGCTGACCTGTTTTTGGGGGCGGGGTTTAGGAGGTGGATTTGTACAAAATGGTTGAAGTTTGTAAAATGGCTGAAAAGCACCTGAAAGTTGCAAACACTTGGTTTTAATAAGAGCCACAAAGGATTGTCTGTGTGTGTTCTGATGCAACAGAAAAACCTTTTTAAGTTTCTTACCGGTGCTTTAACACTATTAGTACTAATAATAATTTTGTAGATATAAAATAAACACATTTACATGAGTTTTATTCCCTGGGAATTGAACCCATGACCTTGTTGTCATAATGTTTGGTGTCTCAGAGCTGGAGGAGGCGCAGCAGAAGTGTCACCCGTGTTGGTACGCGTTCGCACACAAGTACCTGGTGTGGACGTGCTGCCCTCGCTGGATGAAGCTGAAGGAGTGGGTGAAGATCATGGTCATGGACCCCTTCCTGGATCTGGCCATCACTATCTGCATCGTCCTCAACACACTCTTCATGGCTCTCGAACACTATCCCATGACGGATGAGTTCAACCGGATGCTGTCTGTGGGGAACCTGGTGAGCACTGATGATTTACTGACGATTCACTGATGATTTACTGACGATTCACTGATGATTCACTGATGATTTACTGACGATTTACTGATGATTCACTGATGATTTACTGATGATTCACTGATGATTTACTGATGATTCACTAATGATTTACTGACGATTCACTGATGATTCACTGATGATTTACTGACGATTTACTGATGATTCACTGATGATTTACTGATGATTCACTGATGATTTACTGATGATTCACTAATGATTTACTGACGATTCACTGATGATTCACTAATGATTTACTGACGATTCACTGATGATTCACTGATGATTTACTGACGATTTACTGATGATTCACTGATGATTTACTGATGATTCACTGATGATTTACTGATGATTCACTGATGATTTACTGACGATTCACTAATGATTTACTGACGATTCACTGATGATTTACTGACGATTCACTGATGATTTACTGACGATTCACTGATGATTCACTGATGATTTACTGACGATTCACTAATGATTCACTGATGATTTACTGACGATTCACTGATGATTCACTGATGATTTACTGACGATTCACTAATGATTCACTGATGATTTACTGACGATTCACTGATGATTCACTGATGATTTACTGATGATTTACTGACGATTCACTGATGATTCACTGATGATTTACTGACGATTTACTGATGATTCACTGATGATTTACTGATGATTCACTGATGATTTACTGACGATTCACTAATGATTTACTGATGATTTACTGACGATTCACTGATGATTTACTGACGATTCACTGATGATTCACTGACGATTTACTGACGATTCACTAATGATTTACTGACGATTCACTAATGATTTACTGACGATTCACTGATGATTTACTGACGATTCACTGATGATTTACTGACGATTCACTGATGATTTACTGACGATTCACTAATGATTTACTGACGATTCACTGATGATTTACTGACGATTCACTGATGATTTACTGACGATTCACTAATGATTTACTGACGATTCACTGATGATTTACTGATGATTCACTGATGATTTACTGACGATTCACTGATGATTTACTGACGATTCACTGATGATTTACTGATGATTCACTGATGATTTACTGATGATTCACTGATGATTTACTGACGATTCACTGATGATTTACTGACGATTCACTGATGATTTACTGACGATTCACTGATGATTTACTGACGATTCACTAATGATTTACTGACGATTCACTGATGATTTACTGACGATTCACTAATGATTTACTGACGATTCACTAATGATTTACTGACGATTCACTGATGATTTACTGACGATTCACTAATGATTTACTGACGATTTACTGACGATTCACTGACGATTTACTGACGATTCACTGACGATTTACTGACGATTCACTAATGATTTACTGACGATTCACTGATGATTTACTGACGATTCACTAATGATTTACTGACGATTCACTGATGATTTACTGACGATTCACTGATGATTTACTGACGATTCACTAATGATTTACTGACGATTCACTGATGATTTACTGACGATTCACTAATGATTTACTGACGATTCACTAATGATTTACTGACGATTCACTGATGATTTACTGACGATTCACTAATGATTCACTGACGATTTACTGACGATTCACTGACGATTTACTGATGATTCACTGATGATTTACTGATGATTCACTGATGATTCACTGATGATTCACTGATGATTCCCTGATGAAATTTATTTTATTTTATTTTAATTAACGAAAACTGTTTTAATATATTTAGTTAATAACGCAAAATTAAATATTTATTTTTAATTTTATGTGATTTTTTTTTAGAATTTTTTTAGAATTTTTTTTTTACAAATATTTCTATGTAGCTGTAATTTATTTTTATTTCAGTTTAAGTTGTAATAATTTTAGTTCTTTAAATTATTTTATTACAGTTATTTTCTTATAATATATTTTATTTTAGTTCACCTTTATTTCAAATATTGTTGATTTAACTTAAAAAATTAATTAACCTGGTTGCCTTAAAATTTTAAGTTCATTGAAATGGAGAAATTGAGTTAATAAAATGAAGGAGATTGATTTAATAATCAGAAACTCAAAATATGATGTTATCTGAACCACATAAATTATTTAAGTTGATTTTACAAAAGAAAAAAATGTTGTGATTAAAAATCATAAACATATTTTTTTTTTACAGTGCGTTTAATTTTTTAAACCGTTTAAAAACGTTGTTTATTATATATTTCTAAAGGTTATTTAGAAGTTTTCTTATCTGATGCAAAGACATGAGATTTGATTCGTTGTGTCAACATCTCCTGTACGGACTGTGAACTGCTGCATGTTTGGCTTACGCTGCATTTGTTGCTTTGAGAGAGAGAGTGTGTGTGTGTGTGTGAGAGAGAGAAGCAGACAGGCGTGAGTCACGCTTGTGTTAGCATGTCTCACTGCGCTCGGCCGAAGTTCAGAGGTCACGTGTTGTTTGTAATCTGTGTTAGATGGAGAAACTCACACTGACGGGTGGAGAGACGCTCCACACACACACACACACACACCGTTTCTCCTTCACTGCTCAGGAGTCTGCGTGCACAGCTCAGCTTCAGATCACATGTTTATCCTAAAATAAAAGTCATTATAAGTTTTCATGTGATACGATACTTATGTTATGTGAAATTATATACATTTTCTTCAATATTTCTATTGTTCACCGTGTCCAGAACGCGCCGGAGGTTAGGTTTTAGTTCTGGACTAAACTCTGTTAGTTTCAGAAGTGTCCGCTGTCTCAACAGACGCGATGATGATGTCATTTCCTGTGTCAGCTGTCCGAACAGACACGATGGTGATGTCATTTCCTGACGTCCGATTGCATCTCGTCGTCGGTGTGTGTCCGTCACAGAAATGACCCAACACCTCGTTCAGTACACTCCAAAAAGTGCTGTTGTTTCAACCCAACTTTGGGTCAAATATGGACTAACCCAGCCTAACCTAACCCAGGGTTAAATTAATCAACTACATTTTCATTCATTTGTGTATTTATTAAGCAGCGATAAACACAACCGCAGTTGAACCATAGTGCCACAAATAAGATAAAACAAACAAAATACAAAATAAAATCAGCAAATTTAACATACATAGTTTAAAAAGCCAAAGTAAAAAAATAAACAGAATTTGACGTTCTCACAGATAAGGGGAGATTTTTAACCTACCGTCTGGGTTTGTCCATATTTGACCCAAAATTGGGTTAAAGCAAGCCAGCATGTCTGGGAGTGTGTGTGTGGAGTTAGCGCCTTCACGGAGATGTTGATGTGTGTGTGGAAGGTGAAGCTCCGTCACAGTGAAGTGTGTGTGTGTCTGGGTGAGATGCCGGCGCAGGGCTGTCAGCAATGATGAAGATGATGATGATGATGCGTCTGTATGAATCTGTTATGCTCACCAACATCATCATCAGCGATATGAAAATGACTCACTATAGACTGGAAAATAAACCTCCTCCAGGGTGAATCTCATTGGAAGATCACGCTTACCCCAAAAATCTAAAGTCAGACTAGTTAAAAGCAGCTGAAATAAGGCAACATTTCTATTTTATCTTCTATTTTTATCTCTATATTTATATTTTATCTCAATTTATTTATTTATATTAACAACGCAAGTTTGTAATAATCAACTATTAGGCACTTTATCCCCACTTTTTTTTTTTTACTAAAATGCACTCTTTTTTATATTATTTTAATTAAAGTATTTATATTACTACATAATAGTACTATTTATTGCGATGTGTTTAAATTATGCTGATTTTAATAAACAAATACTAATTTGTATTTCTAACATTTTTACAGTTATACAGTAAAAATACTATATTATTAAAATGTCCAGGTTCCACACACACACACAAAAGTGCTTTAATTGATGTTCTTTCATAATACATTATTTGATAATTCATATAATAATATATTTTTAATTGTTTTGGTCGTGTTTTCATGAGATTCACTCTCAGAGAGGATGAAATGTCTTTCCAGATCTCTGTTTATTGTTCAGATGAAAGCGTTCATTACAGGACGTGAGGCAGAACCAGAGACGATGTTCTGGTCTGTTCATCTTCACAGTGTGTGTGTGTGTGTGTGACTCCTCCTGCTGCCGGGTCACGTATCATAGTCACATCCACACGCGCACAAACAAGATACAAGAAACAGAACAACTTTCATATATAAAAGAGCCGAAGCAAGCAGCAGACCTGTTGTACACACACACACACACACACCTGTATATATCTCAGGGTTCTACAGCATCGAAACGCCTGTCAATCATAAAGTTCTACACATGCCCCGCCCCTTGCACGCCCGATTTATATTTATACGTATACAGATTGGCTAATTGAATTATGCTTTCAGCTGTCAATCATAGTATAGTACTCAGAAATACATAAAAAATAAGTAATAAATACAATTTAAAGAAAATAAATCAGTACTACAATAATAGATCATATCCTAGAGTTTTGCAGCAATGTAATATTCACAACAAAGAAAATCACAATAAATATTTACAGTTTTTCAAGCCACTCTACATCTGTAGAAACTAATGTAAATGCGTTCAAGTTCACATGTTTATATACATTCATTTACATCTATACATTTATTTATAAATTGACATGTGAATATGTATTTATTGTTTATACATTCATTTATTTACATTTATAGAGATGTCAAATCGATTAATCGCATCTTACATAAATATTTGTTTATATATGTGTGTGTATGCACATTTTATATATATATATATATATACACACATTATATATTTACAGACTTTTATGTTAGATACGATTAATTGATTAGACAGACACATTCCCATGTATATTTATTTATGTAAAGATGCATCAATATAATGATTCTTGTAGCTCAAACGGTTCGATTTCCAGAAAGTGTATAGCATTGAAATGCATCTTCCACATGCATAAACGTAAACAAAGTTCATTGTTTCGGAACATAAAGCGACTTGTTTGACGTGTTGTTGTTGTCAGGTGTTCACGGGGATCTTCACAGCTGAGATGGTCCTGAAGATCATCGCTCTCGACCCGTACTTCTACTTTCAGCAGGGCTGGAACATCTTCGACAGCCTCATCGTGAGTCTGAGTCTCATGGAGTTGGGTCTGTCCAACGTGGAGGGTCTCTCCGTCCTGCGCTCATTCAGACTGGTAAACACACTTTTATCTAGAGCTGCACGATTCCCCGCTAAAAGATCGTGATTCAAACACACACTTCATCTCATTCCTAAATGATGACGGTTCAGGTGTGTGTTGGTGCTGTCATGTACGAGTGAAACTCGAAAAATGAGAATATCGTGCAAAAGTTAATTTATTTCAGTAATTCATCTTAAAAGGTGAAACTAATATATAATATAGACTCACTACATGCAAAGTGAGATATTTCAAGCATTTATTTGCTATAATTTTGATTATTATAGCTTACTGGTTATGAAAACCCCAAATTCAAAATTATTAAAGTTTTTATAAGCTGTAATCATTAAAATTATAACAAATAAAGGCTTGAAATATCTCATTTTGCATGTAATGAATCTATATTTCATTTCATTTCATTTCATTTATTTTCTATTCTTTCTTTTCATGGTAATGCAACACGAAATACCACAAAAACAATTTAACAAATCAAACCAACACAAAGTACATTCCATGACAAAGAAAAGAACAGGAGTAGGATGAAGAAAAAAATCTTATAAGCTCCTACCCCATTCCTATAAACAAGATTCACAAATTAGATGACCTCACCAACATAAAATGACAAACAACAGAAAACTTAAAGAAAAAGAAAAAATATATATATACACATGCACATACACATACGACAAGCCCAAACCAGATATAATCTACCTTCAATTATAACACATTTTTCTCTCTTGCATCTCTTGCACATTTTTCTATATAATACATTAGTTTCACCATTACTGAAATAAATGAACTTTTGCACCATATTCTAAGTTTTCGAGTTTCACCTGTATAGATATGAAACAGCTGCACAGTCTTTTCAATCACAGTTTCGTTATTTCTGTGTACAGAATATGAATATGAATAACAAATATTCATATTATCATAGAAGAACTGGGATAAAAGTTTATAGTTTACTGTATGTTTACAAAAGCGATCAAAATTAAGCAAATCACCTTTTGAAAGTGAATTGGCGCATCAAAAACGATTGTATCATTACATCGTTAAACCAGTAGGGGGGCGACAAGTGACTGTTAAAGTATTTGGCATTGAATCATTCATTCAAAAGATAAAAAAATGCTGATTCATTTAGTAATGAAACCGTGGAGTACTTTATAAGTGAGTCAATGAATCATTCATTCAAAAGATTTGTTCAAAAAATGCTGATTCATTTAGTAATGAAACAGTGAAGTACTTTATAAGTGAGTCAATGAATCATTCACTCAAAAGATTTGTTAAAAAAATGCTGATTCATTTATTAATGAAACAGTGAAGTACTTTATAAGTGAGTCAATGAATCATTCATTCAAAAGATTTGTTTAAAAAATTCTGATTTATTTAGTAATGAAACAGTGGAGTACTTTATAAGTGAGTCAATGAATCATTCATTCAAAAGATTTGTTTAAAAAATGCTGATTCATTTAGTAATGAAACAGTGAAGTACTTTATAAGTGAGTCAATGAATCATTCATTCAAAAGATTTGTTTAAAAAATGCTGATTCATTTAGTAATGAAACAGTGAAGTACTTTATAAGTGAGTCAATGAATCATTCATTCAAAAGATTTGTTTAAAAAATGCTGATTTATTTAGTAATGAAACAGTGAAGTACTTTTTAAGTGAGTCAATGAATCATTCATTCAAAAGATTTGTTTAAAAAATGCTGATTCATTTAGTAATGAAACCGTGAAGTACTTTATAAGTGAGTCAATGAATCATTCTTTCAAAAGATTTGTTCAAAAAATGCTGATTCATTTAGTAATGAAACAGTGAAGTACTTTATAAGTGAGTCAATGAATCATTCATTCAAAAGATTTGTTCAAAAAATGCTGATTCATTTAGTAATGAAACAGTGAAGTACTTTATAAGTGAGTCAATGAATCAATCATTCAAAAGATTTGTTCAAAAAATGCTGATTCATTTAGTAATGAAACCGTGAAGTACTTTATAAGTGAGCCAATGAATCATTCTTTCAAAAGATTTGTTCAAAAAATGCTGATTCATTTAGTAATGAAACAGTGAAGTACTTTATAAGTGAGTCAATGAATCATTCATTCAAAAGATTTGTTCAAAAAATGCTGATTCATTTAGTAATGAAACAGTGAAGTACTTTATAAGTGAGTCAATGAATCATTCATTCAAAAGATTTGTTCAAAAAATGCTTATTCATTTAGTAATGAAACAGTGAAGTACTTTATAAGTGAGTCAATGAATCATTCATTCAAAAGATTTGTTCAAAAAATGCTGATTCATTTAGTAATGAAACAGTGAAGTACTTTATAAGTGAGTCGATGAATCATTCATTCAAAAGATTTGTTCAAAAAATGCTGATTCATTTAGTAATGAAACAGTGAAGTACTTTATAAGTGAGTCGTTGAATCAATCATTCAACCCATTAAACAAAAAAAAAAAGAATCAGATTCATTAAACATTTTAAATAGACTCCAATAATAAAAAATTCTCAGAACCTCTAGTAAATTCCATGTTATTTTGTCTAGTTGTCTGAAGCGCAAACTCAGTTTGAAACCAAAAGGAATCGTGATTCTCAGTTCATCCAGAGTTTCTAACTGAGTTTCTGTCGCATTGGTTTGTTCTGTTTGCTAAACGACTCTTCTCCTTCAGCTGAGGGTCTTCAAGCTGGCGAAGTCGTGGCCGACTCTGAACACGCTGATCAAGATCATCGGGAACTCTGTGGGCGCTCTGGGGAATCTGACGCTGGTTCTGGCCATCATCGTCTTCATCTTCGCCGTGGTCGGCATGCAACTGTTCGGGAAGAACTACGAGTCGTGTGTGTGCAAGATCTCCAAGGACTGTACGCTGCCCCGCTGGCACATGAAGGACTTCTTTCACTCGTTCCTCATCGTGTTTCGGGTCTTGTGTGGAGAGTGGATCGAGACCATGTGGGATTGTATGGAAGTGGCCGGTCAGCCGCTCTGCATTCTGGTCTTCATGCTGGTCATGGTTATCGGGAACCTCGTGGTAAGTGTTTCTTTATCGGTGTCCCAAATGATGAAAAATAAGAATAATATCGTGCAAAAGTTCATTTATTTCAGTAATTCAACTTAAAAGGTGAAACTAATATAATATATAGACTCAAAGTGAGATATTTCAAGCATTTATTTGTAATAATTTTGATGATTATGGCTTATAGCTTATGGAAACCTCAAATTCAAAATTAGATATTGTGAAAAGTTTTCATAAGCTTATCAACATTATAACAAATAAAGGCTTGAAATATCTCACTTTGCATGTAATGAGTCTATATAATATTTTAGTTGAATTAATGAAATAAATGAACTTTTGCACCATATTCTAAGTTTCACCCGCACACTATGAACTTATACGCTGTAAGAAAAAATGATGTGGAAGTCGAAAATCTCAAAAGTTAAAGGGATAGTTCACCCAAAAATTAAAATTAGCCCATGATTTACTCACCCTGAAGCCATCCTAGGTGGAAATTACATTCTTCTTTAAGACAAAGACAATCAGAGTTAAATTACAAAATGTCCTTTATAATGGGAGTCAATGGGAATATATTTTTGGAGGTCCATCAAAGCGCATCCATCCATGATAAAAGTGCTTGAACGGCTCTGCAGGGGTTAATAAAGGCCTTCTGAAGCGAAGCGTTTGTGTAAGGAAAATATCCATATTTAAAACTTTATCGACTAAAATAACTGGCTTCAGGATGGCTAGTTAAGTTTCTCACAGCATAGCAGTAACACAGTACAGATAGCACTTCAGAGTCGAAGAGAACGCAGAATAAACGTTCCACACTTTGTTTCTACGGTTAAATAAGTGCATCATCCGGAAAGTTAAAGTGCACCTTTTCTTTTTGTGAATGCATTTGGTGACGATTACGTTACTGTTGATCATCTGTCCATCATTGCATAAACCCCGCCCTGACAATTTGATTGGTTCGGGTATACTTGCTTCACAACAGACTGAACTTCCCATCCTCAGATGTTGTGGGCGGGGCTAACTCAGGCTAGTCGAGTAGTGCACAATGGTGTATGTGATTTGGGACGCACCTTTTGTTCAGGTAATTGCGTGTTTATATTGTCTGCTGTCTCTCAACGCTCGTGTCAGACGTGCTTCATAAAGCACCGCTGTCATAACCCGTGTTATTATTGATGCTGAGGGTCATATTTGCTCTGATTAACTCATGAACTCTGTTTGAAACTCGTCCACGCTGATCAAAATGATGAGAGAAGTACAAAGTGATAAAGTCATTAAAATAATTTCCTGTGATTTGGATACACACCTACATAATTAATGAATCTTTTATTTGAAAGACCTGTGATGTATTTATTATTTAGTGGGCGTTTTTTTTTTTTAATCAAAGTCTTCATGTGCAATAATTACCCCGTGAGCGTCTGGGTTTGAATTGTTTTGCCCAGTGGCTCATGGGTAATTGATCTCAATAACTCACCAGCTCCTGCAAAGCCCCAAATGTGACATGTGGGTGTTTGCGTTTATATCACAGATCCTCTTAAACGATCATGACATCGGATCTTTGTACTATTTAAACACCCTGTAATTTTCACAGCTTAAAATGTCCTTATTATAAATTAAGTGTTTATTTAATCAAGCTCCAAAAACGGCTCGTTTTGATATTGCAGGATCTGTGACGTCACACTGTCAAACACATTTGCATATGCCCGCCTCCAGAGCAAGACATCGACCAATAGCTATAGATCATCGCACCACAGGCCCCGCCCGCTGGCGTTCAGTCACGTAATGGCTGATGTTTCCGCACGCTGGATGTGATTATAATCACTGATGCAGAACTCATGTGCGTTCAGTTTCTGACGTCGACAACAAGACAAAGAACGTTTGCTGGAATGTGTAAATTACACACAAAAAAAAGCATTTAGATTGAGTTTAGGAAGAGTTGTTGCTCACCAAGGCTGCATTTATTTGATCAAAAATACAGTAAATTTTTAAAAATGTTTTTACAATGTAAATCAGCTTTTTTCTATGTGAATATATGTTCAAATGTAATTTATTAATGCGATCAAAGCTGAATTTTCAGCATCATTACTCCAGTCTTCAGTGTCTCACTCTAATATTATGATCAAGAAACATTTATGATTATTATCAATGTTGACATTTTTGTGGAAAGCGTCATACATTTTTATTTTCAGGATTCAACGATATATTGAAAGTTCAAAAGTACAGCATTTATTTGAAATCAAAATCTTATGTTACATTATAAATGCATTTTACGGTCACTTTCGATCAATTTAATGCGTCCTTGCTGATATAGAGTACTAAAGACAAATCTGACTGAGATATTATCATGTTTAAATCCATTCTGCGGGATTTCACCCACAGAAAATATGAGACAGGTGAAACTCGAAAAATGAGAGTATCGTGCAAAAGTTCATTTATTTCAGGAGTTCAACTTAAAAGGTGAAACTAATATTATATAGACTCGTTGAGAAATTTCAAGCCTTTATTTGTTATAATTTTGATGATTATGGCTTATAAAACTTATAAAAACTTCACAATATTCCTTGGGGTTTTCAGAAGCTGTAATCCATAATCATCACAATTATAACAAATAAAAGCTTGAAATATCTCACTATGCATGTAGTGAGTCTATATAATATATTAGTTTCACCTTTTAAGTTGGATTACTGATATAAATGAACTTTTGCACGATACTCTAATTTTTCACCTGTATATATCAAGGCTGAGATCAGTAGCAAGTGCGAAGCCTCCGTCTAGTGTCTAGACAGTGTGCAGTGCTGTAATATAAGTGTGCGGATTGCATCTAGGCCTGTTCATAAGATATTGATATTGCATAACAGAGGGTTCGGTGCAGATGGAAGCAAATGCAGAGAGTTTCACCAGAGCGATTAACACATGCAAATGTGACTGGGGGATTGAGGCTGGACGAGCACCAGGGCTTTTCCATCCTCTCTGTGATGAGGAGAGAATCACTGACGAGCGTTTCAGAAACACTGCAGATGTGTGGCGTCGCTCGAATACTGCGACCTGATCTTTCCTGCATGATTTCATTTGCATACGCCAGTTAAAGGTCAAATACTTGTACCTTTGTTACACCATGGATATTTTTAGACCCCCCCGACTAGTCACTTAGAGACTGTGGAAGTGTGTGCAGGGCCATGGGGTGTGATGCAGAGTGAGGGGGATAATGTGTTTTAAATTTGCACACAATGCATTTGAATTGCAAACAACCCGGCGGTTCATTTGATTTATACCGAGCGCTGTTTTGAGTGTGAGTTTAACATGCACTATGTATTTTTGGCTTTGCGATTCCAAATGTGGTACACAGTATTTTAAGGCACTTAGACTGAGGATGACAATGTAATGCTGCCTTCTTTAGGATAAATCCCGATTCAATCCTTCATGTCAGGCATTATTTACTTTACTCCCTCATTTGATTCAGCTTTTATGACTTGTCTAGACTTGTTTAGAAAACAGCTGACTGTAATAATATTAAACATTTGCTGATTTATTTGCACAAAGAGTTATTTGTTTTATTACTATTATACATGGTAGTTTTTATTGTAATAAATTATCATTTAAATTTAAATTTGAGCTTGTAGTGCTATGATTTGATTCATCCTGATTTTAATGCATCAGGACAAGGTGATTTTTCATATTTCATATTTATGTGATATAATTATTTTATAAGAAATTTGGGAGAAATATTCATGTATATAATGGTAAAAATAATTTTAAAAGGCTTAAAATTGATATTAAAAATATATATTGATATTAAATTGTTAAATTGATTTTAAATATATATATAAATATATATATATTAAGACTAAATATTGTTTTTTTTACAAAAAACTACAACGTGAAGATTTATTTTAGCATAAAGTTTGTTTTATTTTATTGATGACGATTTTATAGATTTTATTAGATTATTTTTAACACTGTATTACAGTAGTATGAATTATATTTTTTAAAGAGAATTTGGGGGAAATTTTTAAAAAGGCTTCTTTTTCTTTTGCAAAAAAAATTATTCATTCAAAATATAATTTCTCATTTTTATTTAGATTATAGCATGAAATATGACCCGGACAATGGCATTTCTTGATGATATTCACAAACAGTGGCTGTTATTAAAATAAGCTGGTTGTATAGTGTGCCGGGGTTATTTGCGTGTGTTCTGCTGTCGTGGGAGTGTGAGAACGCCATTAGAAACGCTCATAAATCTTCATTTGTAGTTGACTGAACAGCCAAAAGGTCAAATACCCCTAAACTGCACCCGTAGTGTGTTAAATGCTTATTCAAGCACTCGTTTGTTCTCATCCGCGTTCACAGAGCAGAATTATTCATATTTACATCATTAAAGGTGGTTTGGCGGTGATCTCCAGCGTTTGATGTGAATAACAGGCGTCAGGATCCGGTGCGGGACGTGTAAATACAAGCCACTCGCTGAAGGGCCGTCTGGGGTTTGTTGGTCATTGTGTGTTGAGCAGGTGAAACACTGGCAATCTCTATCTGAGATCACACACACACACAAACAGAGACACACACACACACACACACACACAAACAGAGACACACACACACACACAAACTGAGAGACACACACAAACTGAGACACACACACATACACACACACACGAACAGAGACACACACACAGACACACACACAAACAAACAAACAGACACATACACACATCAAGTTCACAGGAATGCAGTGATGTTGGTTTGGTTTGTAGAGGCTCCTAGGTAAACAGATCAGGGTGACCTATTCTTAGTGTGTGTGTGTGTGTGTCTCAGTCATCACTCCAGATGGAAATGGACACACTGGTATCGATGCACCTGTGTGGATAATCGGAATTATTCAAAGCGCGGTCGAGTAACTGGAGAGGTGAAATTGATGCAATCAGATCTGGAGCTGTTCAGGGTTGCGATGACAAATCCATAACTCCTTTCCAAACCCAGTGCGGTTCTGTGCCTCGCGGAGACTCGTGACGGACTGATGCCGAGTG